ACCTATGAACCGGGAGGTCACAGTCTGATTCCCAGTCAGGGCACATGTGGGCTCGATCCCCAGTGGGGTTGTGCAGGAGGCAGCCGATCAATGACTCGCTCTCATCGTTCATGTTTCTACCTCTCTCTCTCTCCCTTCCTCTCTGAAATCAAGAGTGGCCACTGCCCAGACCCTGCCACATAAAATCTATGAAGTTCATAGACATTCTATCAGGATGCTCAATTAACATTTGACCCCAAATGAAATAATGTAACTCTTCAAAATTATTTCTTTGATTTGCTTTCAAAATCTAACTAAGCTGGCTCTATCATACTTATTTTCTAGATATAGGTGGATCTTCCAAATGAGATAGACTTTTCTTTTTAGTGATAAAAAATGCCTAGTTTAATGAATTACCTATAACAACGGTGCCTATAATGGCACCAACATAATACTTGAACTAGATATATATATAAAAGCCTAAGCAACCGGAATGGCCGGTCACTACAATGCACACTGACCACCAGGGGGCAGACACTCAATGCAGGAGCTGCCCCCTGGTCGTCAATGCGCTCCCACAGCCAACCTCCCCCGGCTGGCCAACCTCCCATGGTCCCTCCCCCGGGGCTGGCCCCCGAGCTGGGACGGGAAACCAGGGGTGGGTGGTGGCAGATGTGGCCCCTTCCCCAGGGGGGACCAAGGGCCAGCTCCCTCCTCGGGGCCAGCGGCCAACCTCCCATGCCCCGTCCCTCCCCCTTGTCAGCAGGCCCTGATCCACAGTGGCGGCACGACAGCGTGGGAAGGGGGGGGGAGGATCATGCAGTGGTGAGGCGCCAACGATGACAGCATTGGCGTCCAGCCCAGCTACCATCACCTCCTCTCCAGCCCAGCCCTGATCGACCTGGCCCCGATCGGCCCTGATTGCTTGGTCAGGCCTAGGGACTCCACCCGTGCATGAATTTTGTGCACTGGGCCTCTAGTTGATTTATATTTTCTAATGAGGTTTTGAGAGGCCTATTATTCTGTCCTACTCTTCAAATGGTCCCAAACAGGAAAATGTACCCATTTCTATCTAATGTCTTGGGTTCAACAATGTGCTCCCAATACTGAGGTACTTATGCCAATAACTGAGAGGGGAGAGGGAACTGCTCTTGGAATCATCCAACAGAGGAAATTATAACTTCCTGAGCTCTTACAGGAGAGACAGAGACCATCTGGGAAGATAAGATAGTGCCAGAATAATAAGCAAATCAATGAGTCAGAGGGGAACACGATAATATAAACTGGGTCCCTGTAATGCAAATTCAAAAAATGGAGGAACAATGAGTTAAAAACAACTCAAAAGAACAGTTCACAAATTTCTATTGCTTTGCCTACCTAAAAGACAAGATCTGCAACAGAACTGGCTCATGATAATAAAGGGAAGTTGTGACATAAAAAATCCAAAAATTGTATCCATTTGTATTATAGAATCACTTTTAGTAATTTTGTCTTCTAAAAAAAAACTTTTTCATTCCTTGGGTTCAAACCAAATTACAATACAAAGGCATTATAAAATCATGTTGGGTGTTTTGAAAAGTAGATTTTAAGCCCAGCTGACGTGGCTCAGTGATTGAGCATTGACCTATGAACCAGGAGGTCACAGTTCAATTCCCAGTCAGGACACACGCTCGGGGTTGTGGGCTCATTCCCCAGTGTGGGGCATGCAGGAGGCAGCCAATCAATGATTCTCTCTCATCACTGATGTTTCTATCTCTCTTTGCCTTCCTCTCTGAAATCAATAAAAATATACTTAAAAAAAAAAGATTTAAAAATATATGAATTAGCCCTAACCGGTTTGGCTCAATGGATAGAGCGTTGGCCTGCGGACTTAAAAGGTCCCAGGTTCGATTCCGGTCAAGGGCATGTACCTTGGTTGCAGGCCCATCCCCAGTGGGGGGTGTGCAGGAGGCAGCTGATCGATGTTTCTCTCTCATCGATGTTTCTAACTCTCTATCCCTCTCCCTTCCTCTCTGTAAAAAATCAATAAAATATATATTTTAAAAAAATAAAATAAAAAATAAAAATATATGAATTATGTAAAAAATAGGCAACGAAGAGATATAAATCTTGCACAACCCATAATTTTTAAATATGTATTTATATTCAATGTCTTTACTTTGTCTGATCTAGAGAGGAAAACTGAGGTAAAGGAGATGAGAAATTTGGCCAAGGTCATACAAGGAGTCAGCAATGGAATGGGCCGGGGACACCAGCTTTTCTGATGTTCTGCTCTGACCACAAAGCCATGCTACATATATGGCATCTGTCTTACCACTTTCCCCATATAGGCTCTCCAGTAAAATGGGGTACCTGTATGTTACAGTAATTTTTTTTGGAGATGAAGGAGACTTGAACAGGAAAGAAGTCATTGGGCTGCCCAGCAATGCTGAACTCAAGGCTGCCACTCTTATTTTTGGCATCAATCACTGGTAGGCACCACTCCAAGGTATTTCGTCGACTGTCGTGTCGATACTCGCCATCAAGCTCACCAATAACCGGTGCGCCAACACCAGAGCTGTCATGAGAAACATCCATGTCAAGTTAGTTGTCCAGAGCTGGAAGAACTCTGCCAAGGAAAACCAGTCCCAAATTTGATTATGCTCCTCAAATTCTACCCACTTTTATAAGACCAGTTGTGAAAAGACCATTTTGTGCCAGAAAAAATTAGGTTCCCTAATAACTTCAAGAATCAAAAGTCCTGGCACCCAGGCTCTTGTTCATTCCCTTTGTAGATCCAGGTATATGCAACCACAGGTAATTGGCAAATATGCCTGTGGGCTGCTGCAACATGTGGACTAGATCTGAAGCTAACAGGGGATGACACTGACAAATGTATGAAGTGGGATGTATTTCTAACAAATCTGCACCAATGGTTTGTTGCTGTGTCAAGAAGGAATTTTAATAAAGGCAGCTCTCTGTACAGGTGACAATGGGGAAAGAACAGGTTGGTAATAGTGGGGGGGAACTTTAAACACCAATATGTAGTTGTTTAGAATGGAGTGAACCTTTGAGAGAATGTTTTCAAAATATTTTAGAATGTTTCCAAACTTACTGTAATTGAAGCCAGTGACTTATTTGATTTACAATCCGGTAAGTGGACTTTGGCTGTTAAGTGAAAGACGGTTACCCCCTGACAACATTCGAATGGATGGGAGAAAGACTACACAGTTATCTAATCTGCAGAAGAACTAGTTAGAATGTACTTTGCATCCCCACACATGCTGACAGGCAGCGTCGCCTACCCCTACACATTCTAAATTTACCATCTTTTAACTCACTAGGGACAGTCAATGCTTGTATTAGGGGCAGGGTAAATAGTAGAGACAAAGAAAACTTTAGGGGTAATATAACACAATGAACTCTTCCCTATCAATTTTATGGCCCCAGTTGTATATATGGTCTTCTCTTTGCTCTGTTCCAATTCCGATACTGATTTCTAACTGGATCAGTTCTAGACAATAGGGTAAAATGTTGTTTAAGGGTCTCTGTTGGAGACTATTGAAAACTTGAGCTAAGACACAGGAAACCACCATAACCACAATTATAGGGTAGATGGAGAGGACTAAAAATAGTCTAGTAAAGTAAGTCCTAACAAAACAAATCCCACACCTGTTACCCATGCCCAAGACCTACAATCGTTCAAGGCAGCCATCTATTGTTCTGAAAGAATAACCAAACTGTGAAGAATAAGATGGTTACCCAATTAAAGGAGATACTGGTAATAAAGCATATTTTTAAAAATGGAAATAAGAATGACTAAAACCAGACCTCGCCATGTAAAGGCCTGAATTATCAAAAAGGGAACAAAACTAAGTACCATTTTCTCTGCAACAATAACAAAGCAAAAAAAGCAAAACAAAACAAAAAAAAACAATAACAAAGCAACACAACAGTGAAGATGCACTAAAAATACATTTACTGGGTGCTCATGGGGGCAGGGGGCTGAGAGGTAGAGGACAGAGCTGGGACTCACTGGTAAAGCAGTAAGAGTATACACTCACTGGACATGCCGGGGAGGAGATGAACCTACAGTAGGTCATTTAAGCGCACAAGAACAACTTCTGGGGATGATGGACATTTTCATTAGCTTAACTGTTGTGATGGTTTCACAGGTATATACATGTCAAAACTTAATAAACTATACAATTTAAATATGTGTAGTGTATCTACATGTCAATCAGACCTCAATAAAGCGGTTAAGAAATTTACTGAAATCAACATAGACTTGGTTTTAGAGTAAGAATCAATAGCTCCCTTGAAAACACTCTCATCTTTAGCTGGAAGTTTAGAGAGCAAAATGAAAAAGAAAAATTCAGTCTTAGGACTAAATTTCTTTCTTTCTTTTTTTAAAATATATTTTATTGATTTTTTTTTTTACAGAGAGGAAGGGAGAGGGATAGAGAGTTAGAAACATCGATGAGAGAGAAACATCAATCAGCTGCCTCCTGCACACTCCCCACTGGGGATGTGCCCGCAACCAAGGTACATGCCCTTGGCTGGAATCGAACCTGGGACCTTTGAGTCCACAGGCAGATGCTCTATCCACTGAGCAAAACAGGTTAGGGCTAAATTTCTTTAAGAGTTACAAAACAGCCCTGGCTGGTCTGGCTCAGTGGATAGAGCGTCAGTTTGTGGACTGAAGGGTCCCGGGTTCGATTCTGGTCAGGGTACATGCCTGGGTTGTGGGCTCGATCCCCAGTAGGGGGTGTGTAGGTTGCAGCCAATCAATGATTCCTTCTCATCACTGATGTTTCTATCTCTTCCTTCTTTTCCCTTCCTCTCTGAAATCAATAAAAATATATTTAAAAAAAAAAAAAAAAAAAGAGTTACAAAACCAAACAGAAAGCGCGCAGTGGCTAATCCTGGAATCTTCATTACAACCTGAACAAATTGAAAGAGCGCTAGCACGGCAACCGGCTATTTGCATGGTTTGGTTTTCAAGTAAGCAGCTCCACACGCCTTTTAAAATGTACAGCTCAGTGCTCGCTTCGGCAGCACATACACTAGAAATTGGAACAACACAGAGGTTAGCATGGCCCTGCGCAAGGATGACACAAATTCGTGAAGCGTTCCACATTAAAAAAAAAACACAAATAAAATAAAGTGTACAGCTCAATGCATTGTGACAAAGGTCTGTAACCTTGTAAGCACCGTCACAATCAAGTCATAAAGCATTTCTTTCCATCATCCCCCAAAGTTCCTTGTGCCCCTTTGCAGGCAAATGCCTTCTTCTAAAAAACACAAACAAACAAACAAACAAAACAAACACCTTCTTCTTTACCCCCTGATTTCTGTCCCAAGAGTATTTATTACCTTTTCAGAATGTCATATAAATGAAGCCATATAGCATGCAGCCTTTTTTATATCTGGCTTCTTTCACAACTGGTCTTATGAAGAAGCAAGTATCTTAGAATGACCAGCCAGCTAACTGTTGCTTCCAAAACAAGTTCCAAAAGACTAGCTCTATAAGCCCAATATAGGAAATAATTATGTGGGGGACACCACTTACGGGAGTGGGATGGTAATAACCACATCATTCAATTCTAAGTTATCTTCTTGTAGCTCGTATTCTATGTTGACATCACAGCCATTTCCACTCTCGGAAGGCCAGCAATTAACTGAGGAGAGAACAGAGCAGGCATACTAGGACATTAAAAAACGGTAGAGAAAAGTTCAGATGGCAAATCAAAGCTAACAGCTGTGGACCTTAAACATCTGAATGTAAACTACTTAAATAACAGTTTTGACATTAAAGCCACTAAAAAAAATAAAGCTAATGACTAAAAAAACACAGTGCAGCAGGTCATTTTCTCAAAAAGGATTTTGTTACAACAATGGAGAGAAGAGTGTAAGCCAGGGCTATTTCTAGTTCTCAATGCAGACGAACTTGGTGGGACTAGCCAGAAGCACTTACTTGTCAGTGGAATAAAGGACTCCTCTGTGGTTTGTAGTCTCCACTTTAGCACCCCTACGTCACTATTGACTGGAAACGACTTCTCTGGATTCTTCAAGCCAATTAGAGATTCTGAGGTGAAAAGTTTTTTATCTACATTTGGATGGGTCTGAAATGAAAAATGAGAGTTTCTGAGGCTTAGAGATAAGACAAAATAAATTTCCTCTGACCTTCCATGGCTCATAATAGAAACATCTCAAATAGGGTGCCTAAAACATTCCAATTCTTTTTTATTTTTGTAAAAAATATTTCCCTTGCCCTAACCCAGCCATGGGCAAACTACGGCCCGTGGGCCGGATCCGGCCCATTTGAAATGAATAAAACTAAAAAAAAAAAAAGACTATACCCCTTTATGTAATGATGTTTACTTTGAATTTATATTAGTTCACACAAACACTCCATCCATGCTTTTGTTCTGGCCCTCCGGTCCAGTTTAAGAACCCACTGTGGCCCTCGAGTCAAAAAGTTTGCCCACCCCTGCCCTAACCAGTTTGGCTCAGTAGATAGAGTGTTGGCCTGTGGACTCAAGGGTCCCAGGTTCAATTCCGGTCAAGGGCATGTACCTTGGTTGCGGACACAACCCCAGTGGGGAGTGTGCAGGGGGCAGCTGATCGATGTTTCGCTCTCATCGATGTTTCTAACTCTCTATCCCTCTCCCTTCCTCTCTGCAAAATAATCAATAAAAATATATTTTTAAAATTAAAAAAAAATATTTCCCTTTATTGCTTTTGAGAGAGAGAGGAAGGGAGAGGAGAGAAATAGAAACTTCAGTGAGAGAGAAACATCATCGATCGGCTGCCTCCTGCATTCCCTCCCACCCCTCAATGGGGATTGAGCCCACAGCCAAGGCATGTGCCCCAACCAGGAATCGAACCAGCGACCTCTTGGTCCATGGGTCAACGCTCAACCGCTGAGCCACACCAGCCAGACCAATTCTATCTTTTCTTTTTAAAATATATTTGTATTGATTTTACAGAGAGGAAGTAAGAGGGATAGAGTTAGAAACATCCACAAGAGAAACACTGATGAGTTGCCTCCTGCATGCCCCCCTACTGGGGATCAAGTCTGAAACCAATGTACATGCCCTTGACCAGAACTGAACCCAGGACCTTTCAGTCCTCAGGCAGACGCTCTATCCACTGAGCGAAACTGGTCAGGGCTCCTTTTGATTTTAAAGAAAGATTTCACTTCCTTAAAGATTTTTAAGATTTAAGACATTTTTAAAAATATTTTTTAAAAAAGTGATTTCAACTCTAAGCCATTTTATTTGTAACTAAACAAGTTAATAATTTTGTAATTGAGGAAGTCCTTTCCAAAAATACTTCACAGGGAGCAGCTTCATGGTGGGGTAAGCTTGCCAAGTAAAAGACTAAGGCTTGTCCTGGCTGGTGTGGCTCAGTTGGTTGGGCATCAGCCCCTTTGCACTCAAAGGTCCAAGGTTAGATTCCTGGTCAGGGCACATGCCCAGGTTGCAGCTCAATCCCTAGTAGGAGCCATGCAGGAGGCAGCCGATCAATGTTTCTCTCACACTGATATTTCTTTCTCTCTCTCTCTCTCTCTCTCTCTCTCTCTCTCTCTCTCTCTCTCTCTCTCCCTAAAATCAATAAAATATATTAAAAAACAAACATACAAACAAAACTAAGGGTCACACGTTGATCAGCTGCCTGGGTCACATAGCAGTCCTGGCTTTATACTTAAAGAGGCAAGAGAGGAAAAAGCTCCGTGGAAAGTTTAGTTGAAATCTTGCCCAGAGCACTAAACTCAGGCCAAGTAAGATGGTCTAATCTTTTAAAAAGAAGTCATACCCCTGGCTGGTTTGGCTCAGTGGATAGAGCATCGGCCTGTGGCCCAAAGGGTCTGGGTTTGATTCTGGTCAAAAGCACGTACCTTGGTTGTAGGCTCGTCCCTGGCCCAAGCCCAGATGGGGCTCATGCAGGAGGCAACCAATTAATGTGTCTCTCTCACATTGAGGCTTATCTCTATCTTTCCCTCTCTCTTCCACTCCCCCAAAAAAATCAAAGGAAAAATATCCTCAGGTATGATTAACAACAACAAAATAAAATAAAAAGAAGTCGTATTAGGAGAAAAAAGGAAAAATAACTTTTGGGTAACAACCTACATGTATTTTAAGAGCCAGCAAAACTGGTGTCAAATAATAGAAGCACTACTTCAGAACACGAAGTTGACAAAAACACATCCTTCCCCGAAGAATACATTCTTGTGATAAGAGAAATAAAATCAACCATCTAAAGAAAGCCTGACAAGAACAACTGTAATAATATAAAGGACATCACATACCCATTCAGGTAGGTGGGACACGCACATTTATTTCATAAGGATTTTATGCCATTAGACACTGCCCTTCAGATAATAAAACAAGCATTGGTAGTTAAAACAGGGCAGAAAGAGTAAATTTGGTATCATAATCTGTTTTAATAAAATACTTCCTTATTAAGTTTAAAGACTTTTTAAAAAAAACAAACTGTATTTCAAGTAATATCCTAAATAATTTTATTCTTTACATAACAGTAACAGATAAGTGTCTCTCTGCACCTTTGTTAGTATGAAGCCATTGATTAGATTTTACTTTTTATTAGATTTTAAAATGACTTTCCATTCAATTCCAACATTAAAAGGCCATTTTAACACAGCTGCTGTAAAAAAATAAAATAGAGCTGCTGTCAATCACAAACGGCTTGAGAAGAGATATATTGCCTCAAGGCACCCACTATATGCAACAAATTAACTTCTTACCTATGCATCTAGAATGGCACTAGTTATACAACTGTAATAATTTTCTGTGTTCTGTGGTTCATATGAGGAACTCCAGTTGGCAGGACTGTGTTAAGTATTCAAACAAAAGTCTTAATACTCCCTTATCAGAAGTCTCTACACACCTGTAGCTGCACCCCTTTCTTATCTTCGTTTTCCACATGAAGACGAATTCGGCCAAATTTATCATCCGAGATCCTAAGCATGATCATGCCATGCAACTCCATATTCTGTAGTCCTCCATCCCGTCCACAGGTTAGTGTGATTTTTTCCTCAATCTTCATGTGCACACTATAAGGAAAAATAATAAATTTGTTCAAGAAGGTTGTGGGTGATTAGCCATCCACAACTTATTTTAAGGTGCTGCTGCTATACAGGGTGGGGGAAAAGCAGGCCTACAGCTGTGAGCACACAAATCAGTTAATTCTTATATTATTTATTTATTTTTAAATATATTTTTATTGATTTCAGCGAGGAAGGGAGAGGGAGAGATAGATAGAAACATCAATGATGAGAGAGAACTGGCTGCCTCCTGCACTCCCCATTCTGGAGATCAAGCCCGCAACCTGGGCATGTGCCCTGACTGGGAATCAAACTGTGACCTCCCGGTTCATGGGTCGACACTCAACCACTGAGCTACACCGGCTGGGCAATTATTTATTAACTAGAGGCTCGGTGCACAAAAATTTGTGCACTGGGGGGGAGGGGGTGTCCCTCAGCCCGGCCTGTGCCTCTCACAGTCTGGGACCCATTGGGAGATGTCCACCTGCTGGCTTAGTCCCGCTCCCTGGGGAACTGGGCCTAAGCTGGCAGTCAGACATCCCTCTGGCAGCCCAGGAGCCCTCGGGGAATGTCCACTTGCCAGCGGGGACCAGGCTTAAGCTGCAGTCAGACATCCTTAACGCTGTTGAGGAGGCGGGAGAGGCTCCCACCACCACCGCTGTACTGGCAGCCATCAGCCTGGCTTGTGGCTGAGCAGAGCTCCCCCTGTGGGAGCACACTGACCACCAGTGGGCAGCTCTTTCATTGAGTGTCTGCCCCCTGGTGGTCAGTGTGTGTCATAGTGACCAGTCATTCCCAGTCTTTCTGCTGTTAGGGTCAGTTTGAATATTACCCTTCCATTATATAGGATTATTGTATTATTTTCCATACAACAATCTGTAAACTTACTTTTGCCCTGCCCTATATGTATCAAAAATTAAAGCATTATACCCTCAATTCAGCAATTCTCATCCTACATTTAAATTCTTACCCATGCAAACAATACAGTAAGTTATTCACAAAAAAATGCAGGTTTGGAAACAATTCAAATGCCCATCAATAGGGCAGCGCTTAAATACATAACCACAAAAAAAA